AAGTCATTGACAGTTGATTTAGACTACATAGGGGGATGTAGGCTGGCTGATGGGGGAGGGGTCCTCGTGATGCTAAGATCCAGTGGTTGAAGACTATTGCTAATATGGCTCTAAGCCACTCCTAGTAGCGCAAATCAATTCACCCCCTGTGATACCCTATATCCATTAAACCATAATGTTTCGCCATGTTACTATTCCTTTCCGCTCATATTTTTGCTTATAATTATAGTGCTTTTAAATTCCTTTCTCCCTCCTTTGTGTGGTATTTGGAGTGTAGCAACTTGAACTGCTGCCGTTTTGTGCAAAGTTCTATGTTGAAACTCAGTCAGTCATGAACACCTTACCGCTGACCACGGACAGTTGCCAGGTAAGTTGGGATTTAGATGTTTTGAAGTAAACGTTGTCTAACACTTTCTCCCCATTATGAAGGTAGGATCGTTCACTTGTTAGTGCTTCGAGAGGAACATGTTACCGATTTTACATACATAGTCGCCAGCAGAACGACTTCATTTCGAACCCTAGTCCGCAGCACATTGCAAGCAGCTTACACCATGATGATAATTGGTTTTCTCTAACCGCTGTCCAAACGAATGTTCCGGGATAGTAAGAACTGCAGAACAGCCAGTGTGGCTCTTTGGGACACTGTGACATGAGGACCCTACCAGCGCATTAGGGTAATGGCTTTCAAGTAGGCACACTTTCCTATCATCAGGGTTCCCACCGTTGGCCATTATCCCCATGTCATTTAATTTTCGGAATGAATAGTTGGTCTGTTAGGCGGTACACTGATCGAACACGTCAAAGAATGGTAGAAATATTATGCAACTTGGAAGGTCCAGCTACAGATTCTTGTGTTACGTTACAAGTCAAATCTCACTATATAAATAAAGTAATACCACTTCGGTATTCTGAAATGAAATAATGAGAGTTTAAACCCACGACCTACGGCTTAAACAGATGAGCCACTCTCACATGTAGGATGACATATTACCATCAATAAAGTAACTGGTTTTGATTGCCGATATCACTCGCTTTCGGACAGGTGTGTGGAAACTGAAAACTGTGAAAACGTGTTTACTTTTCAATTAAGTCCTTTTGGGAGCCCATATAACCTCGGTGTGACTGTACCCGTAGGCCTGATTACTCCATATAACCCTTGTAGGATAACTGTTGTTCAGGCCTTTTTAATGACTCAGTTCGTTGTTTCACGATCTTTATAGTTAGGTCAGTAGAAGTTAAATTTCTTTTTTTCCAATTTTCGACAATAATTCGATATGCTATTCGTCTAATCTACGTATTCCGTCTTATTCATGATTAGTAATCTAGAACCTTCATCCGGTTTGGTAATTATTAAATTCTCTTTCTTCCGTAGCTTATTTAAGACTTCCCTTTGTTTCCTGTTTGTTTTTTATATATTTATAGCAACGATCGACGAGAGTTGACTTAAGTCTTCCAATGATAAATGTATCAAATCTTCAATCTGCGTATGGAGGTTATCAAACTGAAATGCTTATCGATTTTATTGATTCTAACACGATCATCACAAAACTTAGCTCTAAGAGATAATACGTGCAAATCTGTTTCCTCGAGGACAGCATCCGAAAAATTATAAACGTACCTACCAAGGCTTGAAGGAAATTGCGTTTCGGGGAATTCGGCTTCTAGGACTTTATGATAATTTGCCACTTTTTTTTCTTTCCCTTTACCGGCAATTTGATTTACATAGTCCAGAAAAGGTTTCTTTGAGTGCTATGGGAGTTCATCCACAGCATAGAATCTTTCTGCACTTTCTTTGATACTACATGATTTCAGCGAATAAATCTGATTTAGTGCATAGCGTTTGAAGAGAGAGTTCAAAACACGTTTCTGTTTTCTATAGGAATTTTATAACTTCAAGCAGAAGTGGTTTTGGAGGCATGTAAAATTAATGACTTTAACGACAAGACTTTATTTTTCAAAGAATAGTATATGTACATATTTCAAATTTGTTAAGGGAAATAACTGTATGGAGCATATATTTATTTATTTTTGATTTACAGCTTGATTCCACACTGTATTTTTGGTACAAGCATGGAATTTTCAGCATGAATACCGGTAGCCCAAATTATGCAGGCCGACCATAGATATCAGGTGTACGTCTGCAGGGGATCGAACCTCGGACCATGTGCATGGTCGGCGAGAGACCTAACCACTGTGCTACCGACGCATATATCTGTCTGTCTGTCTGTTTTCGACATAAAACTTTGCACAAATATGCGACAGTTCAAGTCGCCACACTCCGTGTAGCACGCGAAGCAAGAGAAGAAAGTATAAGAAAGGCATAATAGAAACTGTGAGCAGAGGGGTGAGACAAAGGAGGAGTAATAACGAAGAAGAAAACAGTTTCATTGAAGATCATAAGTCACAAGGACGCATATATATATACATCTATAAGTGTAGGTTATGTACATTTGACAGTTTTTAATAAATTTTGACGTAAGTAACCATCTGTTTTACGTGATAAAGGCAAGACTAATTTTGATAACACATCCAAAATTCCGGAGCCAGTGAATGCATTCTCACAATTGCTGTTAGCCCATGTATCTGGAAATTCATTTGAATGACATACGTTGTTCTCATTAGACTCTTCATTCGAATTATTAACTGTTAAATGTTTAAGTAAATCACTCCCAAAGTATGTTCGACTAATCCCAGTGTTCCGTAATAATTCGAGACCACTAGAACGTTTCCGTAGTGGGATCTAGATTACAAACAAGCAAAAGAAAAAAAAAGTCACTCAATAATTCTGTAATTAAAAAGACTGAGGAAATTATTAAAAGAAAAACATTTACATTCTCTTTATCATCAAACGTCCGAAGTTAAGTGGCACTAAGACTGAACTATGAAGTTGTAAAAGCATTACTCTAAGAGAAGCCGTTGTAAATCAGCAATAAATAAATTCATATGAAGACCTCAACATCGCTTGGAACAGAATTTAGTGGGAATTTGTTACTCACTGGTCTAGAAAACCGATTCACAACCAGCACGTCGGCCACTGATGTTAGCTGAAATAAGATTTGGTTTGGAGAGTTAAGGATGGTCAAACAAAAACAACGTCAACTCATGAAGTCTTTAATTGTAGGTGTGAGCCACGTAATTAGGTTTACATATTATAGAATACTAAGAATCAATGGTTTGAAACTGTTATGTTGCTGCTGCTGAGTAGTTAATAGTAGTTTTCCCCGTCGCCAAATTGTTATGTACTCGTCGCTAAATTATTGTTATGGACTGGTCGAAAAACTAATAGTCCTGACGCAAGAAGGCGGAAATCAGAAGACCACTAGGTTTGCGATGATACTTCTATTTTCCAAACACCAGGAGAAGCAAAAGTGGTATCACACCAAAAGTAAGTAAGTAAGTAAGTGTAATCACAAGATTGTGAGAACGAAATATATATATATATATATATGAAATGTTCAGACAAAGGTGTGAACAATCATTAGACAGTCTTAACATGAATGGCTAATTATAATGAAGTATCGATCCATATATACATAGCGAAATATAGCAGACATGTCAACCACCACCATATATGGATATATGTCACCAAGCAACGGACTGTCAACAAACACTCATATTATATATAATATAAGGGGAATATATATTGTTAAAGGAGACAAGTTCATACAAGTGAAATGGTCACAGACTAAGCGAGCAAACAGAAAGAGAGATCAACATACACACACACACACATAAATATATATATGTGGATACATATCAGAAACTAAAAACAACAGATACACTCACTGTATCATTCTTCACATTTACAACGTCTTCACTAGTCTTTATTGTTCTCATATTTCATCTGATGTTAGGAAATATACAACTTTAACTGACCCACTGATTTGCGATTCGCAGATTTGACTTCTGTTCAGCCAGGCAATGTTAATAACCAGAATGATAGTTTAGACAAGATTTAAAGAACTCGGAGACCAGGTTTGTATGAATTATTTTACTGAGGTTTTCTTTTAAAAGTAATTTTTGTCCCGATTGATATTAGGGAACAGTGAAATGCGACTGTGACCTTAAATAAAACTGTGTGGAATCTACAGGTCATGCAGTAAACAGTTAAGTGATTATAAGTGTCACCAAATTTTTCAATAATACTTAATATAGGAGGTTTGATCAATTTCATATTACGCTAATAAGTCAACCATATTCTTAAATTGTGTTTTGGGCTCATAAACATTTTAAACCAATCTTCAGCCTATCGGTTCGCATTTAACAAAAAAAACATCACTGAGGGATAGAATGCCGTTTTAAACAGAAAATCACTGCATTTAATGACACAGTAGATTACTATTACTACTTTACTTAAAAGTACTATAGAAGGAGTAGATATTTTGCAACAATATGTACTGAGTGAAAAACAAAGCGATATTGTTTTTACTGACGTTTCGCTATTTAATGCTAATAGCTTTATCAAAGTATTACTAAGCGGGAATTTACAAAATCTCAGCATATATATAACAAAGAGTTAGGGGGTGAGAAAAATAGACGACTTAGTTCAACTTAAAAGGACATATTGAAAGTCAAAATAACAATGAAGATCACTAAACCAAATAACAAAGGTAATAGTACGTCTGTTATGATATGTTTACTAACTTGATCATTGTAACAAGCAATGTTAAACAGTCGTCTATTTATATATTACAAGCCATATCTATGAATCCTTTCAAAAATTGTTTAATGAACGAGAATCTCATTTTCATAATGTCACTAAAAGAAGACATACAAAAATTCTCGAAACTCGAAGAAAAGAAACAACCAAAGAAAACCTCCGCAAATGAAATGAAGAATATTAGAGCCATACATAACATGTAAGATAAAATACTAATCGAAAATACTACAGAAAGGTCTGAATTTCAATATCACTAGAAAGCCGTTATCGGTCCAGGAAATAGCACCTATGATCGAATCAGCTCTACAACAATTCACCAATGAAGAATCACAATCTGTTCGTCAAAATATATCACACATATTAATGACACAACGAAACATACCATCTAATCTCACCAAACAAGAATATGAAGCCTTAAGAAATTTGAACAAAGACAAAAGTATCGTTATAACGAAAGCCAACAAGGGAAACATCACTGTGATAATGAACAAAACAGACTATGAAAAGGAGGCAACTGAACAAATATCTGAAGGACCATACTTACTCATTCGAGAGAAGAAGAAGTCCGCCGAATTCAACAAAATAAAACTAAATACAAACAGACTACTTCAAGAAATGAAACCAAAAATTGGAAATTCGCTCTGGTTTACACTTAAACCAAAATCTTATATACCTTCAAGATTCTACGGTCAACCAAAGATACATAAACCCACAGTTCCATTAAGACCAGTGATAGATTTCACCAACTCACCAACATACAACCTTTCTAAATACTTACTCTCGGTGCTACAACCACTACAAAAGGACACTCAAAATATTGTAAGAAACTCATATTATTTCAAATCCCAAATAGAACACCGATAAATTGATAAGGAAGACATTATGGTAGGCTATGATATTAACTCATTACTGAGAGTCTTTATATCATCTCCAGTCTACTAGAATCAGATACAACGCTATTACAAAGATGTCCACTGGACACCAGTGGCTCAATGGTCTACGAGCTCGCCTTGTAACCAGAAGGTCCTGGGTTCGAATCCCGGTGGGTGCGTACTGCTGAGGAGTCCCAAACTAGGACGAAACGGCTGTCCAGTACTCCCAGGTTTTCCAGTGGTTCTCTAACTGATGTCAGCTCATGATTAAATCCTCCATGCAAATAATTAAAAGCTTGAAATTCTGTCTAGAAAGTAATTATTTTACATTTAAAGGGAGTTTGTGTAGATAGAAAAATGGTGCTGCTATGGGTTCACCAGTCTTCCCAATAGTCGCTGACCTTTTCGTGAATAGATTCAAAAATAACATTTTTTCAAGCATACTCACTCGTAAAATATGGTTAAGATATGTGGATGATACTTTTGTAGTACTAAAACGAGATCTACACAATTCATTCCTGGAGAAAATAAACTGTGTATCTCCCAAAATCCAGTTTACTTCGGGAGCAGAATCAGACGTCGGTGAACTACCGTTTCTAGACTACCTAGTTAAGAGGAGAGAAAATGGACATTTTAGTATACCCATATTCAGGAAGAAAACCCACTCCAATAAATATTTAGGCTTCAAATCATCACACCCCATCAGCGCAAAGATTTCAGTTGTTTCAAGTCTTCTTAAACGAGCACACTCTCTGATTACGGATGAGAAAGAAAAAGAAATATCAAACATTACTGAAACTCTCAAGCAAAACAACTACCCAAGGAACTTCATCAACAAAATCAACACAGACATTAAGTATGGCCGAAAACGTATTTGTCATTCCATATAGAGCAGAGACGTCAGACGATATCAGAAGAGTACTCAATCAGCTCGACATCAGAATTTTCTTCAAAACATCAGACACACTTCAAAGCAACCTTGTCCATATAAAAGATCAATCCCAAAAGATTCTCTATCTAATTGTGTCTATAAAATAAAATGCTTGGAATGTGATGCGATCTACATCAGACAAACATCTCGCGAAATCAAAATCAGAAGAAATGAACACCGTAGAGCATCTGTTTGACCACTGAGAAATCCAATTGAACCAGAAAAACTTGAAAAATCATCAGCCATAGCCTGTCTACATGCTATTGAATCAGGCCACAAAATTGATTTTGACAATACTGAAATAATCCAGAAAAACTTCAGAAATCACAAAGAACGTCTAATATCAGAAGCACTTCATATCAAATGGAATCCAAATTGCCTGAATGGGAATGATGGATTAGAACAGACCCTGACTTAATTACAACACCTCCCCTTCCCTCGCCAACGAAGTGACAAAATCAACACGAATGTGATAAGCAAGTTCACTATGTAAACACACTACTTTTATAATGTCACACACTGATCAAATCTAACAATCTACACTTGGTTTTGCTATCTTCACCAATTGACCAACTTGACAACGAAAAGTAACCCCAGACTGATGAATGATGATCAACTTAGTAAACTTTGTTTTGATATCATGACAGATGTACCATTAACTTTGTTATTTGGTTTAGGGATCTTCATTGTTATTTTGACTTTCAATATGTGTCAATCTGAGAAGGATGTCGGTGGCACCTATGGAGTTCCGTGCCAGCGAACCGACAACGGTGACCGTCTCCTACAGTTCTGCTCTGATAATCATTTGTTTCTTGTAAGCACTAACTTCAAACACAAGGAGAGACACTGTTTGACTTGGAGACCCCCTTCATCAAACCAACGCTGGACACAAATAGACCACATAGCAATAAGCTATCGTTGGCGTGGGTCGGTAGGAGATTGTCGCTCCTTCTGGAACACGTGCGTAGATACCGACCATGCACTGGTCCGCGCTCGGGTGTGCTTACGACTGAACGGACGTAGGAAACAGCTGGCGGTAAAACCATCACGTCCCCAGCTCGATCAGGAAACTAAATCCGTATTTGAGGAAGAACTAGCTAAACACATATCTGTGTTCGACAGCTGTGCTCACCCTGAAGAAGCTTGGAAAAATATCCAGGCAGCCATAGATACAGCTGTAAAAGCTGTGAATAAGGTAAACCCAAAGGTGAGTAAAAACCACTGGATCTCCACCGCCTCATCCGAACTGATAGATGCTAGAAGACTTATTCCGGCGAGCTCCGAATTCAATGAGGAGCGAAAGCTGCACAAGAGGAAACTTACGAAAAGTCTCCGCAAGGACCGTGAACAGTGGTGGGCGACAAAAGCCAAAGAGATGGAGAAAGCTTCGAGGATAGGCAACACCAGGCAACTCTTTAGACTCATCAGGGAAACGGGTGGGAGAAGACAAATCATCAGTGAGACAATCTCGGAAAAAAATGGCACTATAATTAGCTCCCAGGATAGACGACTGGATCGTTGGAAAGAGCATTATGAGGAGCAGTTTAATTTGCCCACAGCCACGCTCAACCTTCCGAGCATCCAACACCTCCCTGAATGGGATATAGACACAGGTCCTCCGTCACTAACTGAGGTTACTAAAGCTGTCACCAATCTGAAACTAGGCAAAGCAGCGGGACCTGATGGAATGACTCCAGAGGTATTTAAGTACGGTGGAGACAGCTTACTGTCTGGATTAACTGAGGTACTAGGCAGCGTCTGGGAATCAGAAGAAGTCCCATCGGGTTGGTGTAAGTCACTGATTATCCCCATATACAAGAAGGGAGACAAGTCTTCCTGTGATAATCACAGAGGGATTAGCTTGACTAATATAGTATCTAAAGTCTTAGGCTCAATAATCATGCGTAGACTGAGTGGTGCTCGGGAAGCACAAACACGAGAGAGCCAGGCAGGCTTTAGACCAGGAAGAGGGTGTATTGATCATATCTTCACCCTCCGACAGATTCTAGAACATAGGCATTCCTACCGGCGTCCAACAGTCATTATATTTCTTGACCTAAAGGCAGCATTCGACTCTGTCGATCGGGAAGTTCTCTGGAGATGCTTGGCTGTAAAGGGAATTCCGAGAAAATATATTGCACTGATTAAGGCACTCTACTCGTACTCATACAGCCAGGTGAGGGCTTACGGCGAGCTGTCATCTGAACTGATGACGACCAGTGGTGTCCGTCAAGGATGCCCATTATCTCCTTTTCTATTCAACTTCATCATAGATGTGTTAATGGACTTAACCCTAGGTGACTTCAGCGACTCAGGGATTGACTTGCTACCGGGGAATAATCTCGTTGACTTGGAATATGCAGACGATATAGTCCTTCTAGGCGAAGACGCTGACGAAATGCAGAGTCTTCTAAACACCTTGAGCCGCAATCTACGAATGTTTGGCATGCGATTCGCTCCCGCCAAATGCAAGATGATGTTACAGGACTGGACTACATCGACGCCTAGTTTAAAAATAGGAAGTGAAGTGGTAGAGCACGTTGACCGCTTCACTTATTTGGGAAGTACCATCAGCCCCAACGGGTTGATCTCTGACGAAATCTCAGCACGAATACAAGGGGCTCGTTTCGCATTTGCCAGTTTACGCCGACTCTGGCGTAGACGAGATGTTCGACTATCGACCAAAGGGCGGGTGTACTGCTCATCAGTCCGCTCCGTCCTCCTTTATGGTTGTGAGACCTGGCCACTGAGAGTGGAAGACATGAAAAGACTAGCTGTCTTTGATCATAGGTGCCTGCGTTCTATTTCCCGTGTAAAGTGGCATAATAAGGTGAGCAACATTGAGGTTAGGCGTAGAGTTCTAGGTAAACAGGGGAAATCAATCGACGAAGTCGTGAAGCTACATAGACTGAGATGGTTAGGACATGTGTTACGTATGCCAAGTCATCGCCTCCCTCGACGAGCAATGTTAGCGGATATAGGGTCAGGCTGGAAAAAAGCTAGCGGCGGTCAAACAAAAACTTGGCATCAGTCAATGAAATCCACAACAGTTGGTCTAAGCCACGTAGGAAGGTGTAGACTTCCAGGCTGGGGTCCTCGGGACGGTAAAAATCTATGGTTGGAAACAATTGGTGACATGGCTCAAAATCGTTCTCAGTGGCGCAGATGCATCCACTCCCTGTGACTTATGATCTCCAATGAAACTGTTTTGTTTTTCTTTATTACTCCTTTGTCTCACACCTCTGCTCACTGTTTCTATTATGCTTTTCTTGTACTTTCTTCTCTTGCTTCGCGTGCTACACGGAATGTGGCGACTTGAACTTCCGCACATTTGTGCAAAGTTCTATGTCGAAAACAGACAGACAGACAGATTTCCTTTTAAGTTGAACTAAGTCGTCTATTTTTCTCACCCCCTAACTCTTTGTTATATATATGCTGAGATTTTGTAAATTCCCGCTTAGTAATACTTTGATAAAGCTATTAGCATTAAATAGCGAAACGTCAGTAAAAACAATATCGTTTTGTTTTTCATTCATTGGAAAATACAAAAAGCCTTTATTATAATGAATATCATATATCGAAGGCCCAATTTTTTTCAAGCTGTTAAGAGTGAACTTGGTTTGGACATATATAATATATACTGAAAATTTTGCGTTGTATACTTCTTCTTAAAAGAAAGTACAAAGGATACGACTAAGCACAAGTCCAATGCCTTTCAGTCTCCAGTGGATTTCCAGTCCAAGTCAGTCAGAACAACATATTCGAACAGGTACCTTTTTTCATATACTACTTCAAAAGTTTACAAGAAAATTGATTTAGAATAATGAAGACAGAGAAACCTCTATAACTAGGAATATTAAGGAATTGCCTTCAAAATATGCTTACAATATCCCGATGCCCTATGCCAGAGATATAAGCTCCAACACATTGAACATAGTCTTGTTCATCTAATTTACTGTCTACTGAAATTGATTTTTGCGCAGCTGATTCGACCAATTCTTGCCACAGTGTATATAAATTATCATCCAACTTTGGTGATCCTAACAAATTGATTTCAGACTGATCAATTTCATTTGCTGAATGCTCTCCTTCAAACTCAATAGGATCACTTAATTCGTTTACATCCCAATTTTCTGGACCTGACATTTGTTGTCTGATTTGCGTCGACAAGGTCTCTAAAGTATCCACAGTGAACATAACATCTGATTTGCTTTGAAGAATGTTGTCATATTTTTCAGCTTCTTCGCTATATAACTGCACTGAATTTGGATCATTATAATTAATAGTATAATTATAACTTGATAACTCAAAATTATCTCTTGTTTCGTTAATTTCGGGTGAAAAATTAATTATAGATGATGGAAGTAATGAATCTAACTCAGTATCTGAAACATCTTCGCACTTTAGTTCATCTAGGAATTCACAAAGAGCCTGTACCTTCTGTTCATTATCATTAGAAATAGAAAGATCAGGAGGTGACACTGACAAAGGATGAGTGGAGTCTGTATGGATTGATGCAGTATTTGTAGGTTTTGGATTTGTACTTTCCGGATCTAAAACTTCATCCGTACCTCCTCGTGCATCTCGCTTTTGAGCTGAAGAAATATGCACATCTGACTGATATCTGGCTACCTGCATTAATTAATCAAAAAGAAAATAAAACAATAATCAAACCACACATGAAACTAACTAGATCGAATTTCAAAAGATTATGGAACGACAGAACATACTCCACGTTATTTCGAAGCATTAGCCACTGTATTTAATTTTTGAAATGTCCACGTAAGAACAGAACTTCAAACAGGAAGTAATTTAATCCAAATGACCACCACAGTACACAGTAATTCAAAAAAATAAGACTGAGTCAATATAATCTTCATCATTTTGCATATAATGAAGTAATATCTTCTAATAAACAAAGCTGTGCGGAATTACTTTTGACACATACATTAAGTAATATCCACACTTAGGCACTAATCTCTAGAACTGATCCAAGACTTAAGGATTCACCATGGTTTTTTGTATGCTTTGCTTTTGAATGTCTTTCTTTTTCGCTTGAGGAAGCATTCACTGTAGTTCTTTTCGAATGGTTAGACTTTTTCGTTAATTCTGAGGTTGAGGTATTTTCAACATCCTTCAAATTGGATGTTTCATGGACAGACGGTTGGTCATCTGGACAAACAGAATCAGTTTGTCGGGGCATCTCACGAATGTTCAGCACCTACAATATATGTCGATTAGTAAGCACGATAAATTATTGCGATTATCAAAAAAACTCCCAATAAATCTGATAATGTACAAAAATATAATACTATACGACAATATGAATAGCTTACAATGTCAGTAATTCTTATAGAACACGATTACTGCGACAACAATATTTGTCTAGATTGATAAGCAAAACATTTATTTTTGTGAGAAGAGACAAAAAACATCTTAACAGTAAGCTTTCGATTTTAACTCTTCAAACCGTCTGACTGAGTTTCAGCATAGTCTGTCTGTCTGATTTCGACATAGAACTTTACACCGATATGCAGCAGTTCGAGTCGCCACACTTCACTTAGAACACAATGCAAGAGAAAAAGAAGAAAAAAGTAAAAAAGAAGCGCAAAGTAGAGAGAGCGAAGAGAGATATGAGGTAAAAAAGTAATATCGAAGATGGGTATTAAAAGTCACAGGGAGTGGATGCATCTGCACCAGTCATTTAGAACGATTTTGAGCCATATCACCAATTGTTTCCAGCCATTGGTGTTTACCATCCCGAGGACCCCAGCCAGGAAGCAAGTCTACACATTTCTACGTGGCTTCAACTGCCTGTTGTGGATTCCATTGACTGATAAATTCATGTTTTGGTTTGACCATCACCGGCTCTTTTCCAACCTGACCCTATATCAGCTAACATTCCCCGTCGAGGAAGGCGATGGATGGCTAGGCATGCGTAACGCATGTCCTAACCATCTCAGTCGATGTAGCTTCACAGCTTCATCGATTGGTTTCCCCTCTTTACCTAGCACTCGACCAATGCCTAAGCTCAATATTGCTCACTCTATTATACCACTTCACACAGGAGATAGAACGCAGACACCTATGATCAAAGACAGCTACCAGCCTTTTCATGTCTTCCAATCTCAGTGGCCAGGTCTCGCAGCCATAGAGGATGACGGAGCCGACTGAGGAGCAGTACACCCGCCCTTTGGTCAATAGCCGGATATCGCGTCTACGCTAGAGACGGCGTAAACTGGCTTATGTGAAACTATCCCTCTGTGTTCGTGCTGAGATTTCGTCAGAGATCAACCCATTGGGTCTGATGCAACTTCCAAAATAAGTGAAGCGGTCAATATGCTCTACCACTCCACTTCCTATTTCTAAGCTAGGAGTTAATGCAGTTCAGTCCTGTAACATCACCTTACATTTGGCGGGAGCAAACAGCATGCCAAACATTCGTGCATTGCTGCCTGTTAAGGTGTTCAGAACTCTGCATTTTGTCAGCGTCTTCCTCACCTGGCAGGGAGGACTATATCGTCTGCATATTCTAAGTCAACAAGATTATTCCCCGGTAGCAAGTCAATCCATGAGTCTCTGAAGTGAGTTAGGGTTATGTTCATTTGTACATCTATGATGAAGTTGAATAGAAATGGGATAGTGGGCATCCCTGACGGACACCACTAGTTGTCACCACTTCAGATGACAACTCGCCGTAAGCCCTCACCTGGCTGCTTGAGTTCGAGTAGACTGCTTTAATCAGTGCAATGTATTTTCTCGGAATTCCCTTTACAGCCAAGCATCGCCAGAGAACCTCTCGGTTGACAGAATCGAATGACGCCTTTAGGTCAAGAAATATAATGATTGTTGGACGCCGGTAGGAATCCCTATGTTCTAGAATCTGTCGGAGGGTGAAGATATGATCAATACACCCTTTTCCTAGTCTAAAGCCTGCCTGGGTCTCGTGTTTGCGCCTCCCGAGCACGACTTAGTCTACACAATATTATTGGGCTTAGGACTTTAGATATTATATTAGTCAAGCTAATCCCTCTGTGATTATCACAGGAAGACTTGTCTCCCTTCTTGTATATGGGGATAATCAGTGACTTATACCAACCCGGCGGGACTTCCTCTGATTCCCAGACGCTGCCTAGTACCTCGGTTAACGCAGACAGTAAACTGTCTCCACCGTACTTAAATACCTCTACAGTCATTCCATCAGGTCCATTGCTTTAATTCATTCCAGACTAGTATCAGCTTTTGTAACTGCAGTAAGGGTCGAAGGATCGGTGTTAATATCTCGTTCAGGAAAGTGTTGGATTCTGGGTAAGTTGAGTGTGACTGTAGGCCAATTAAACTGCTTCTCAAACTGTTCTTTCCAACATTCCAGTTGCGTATTCTGGGAGCTAATTATGGTGCCATTTTTCTCAGAGATTGTTTCACTTATCATTTGTCTTTTACCACCTGTTTCCCTGATAAGTCTAAATAGTTGTTTGGTGTTACCTACTGCCGTTGCCTTCTCCATCTCTTTCGCTTTAGTCACCCACCACTGTTCACAGCCGTTGCAAAGACTTCTTGTTAGCTTGTGTTTGGGCTACTTTCTCTCCTCATCATATTCGGAGCTCGCCGGAATCAGTCTGTGTCATTCAGTTCGGGTGAGGTAGTAGAAGTCCACTGGATCTTACAAGCTTTAGGTTTCAGGTTATTAACAGCTTTTACAGCTGTGTCTATAGTTAACTATATGTTGTACCAGGCTTCTTCGGGAGGAGTTCTGCTGTCGACCTCAGATACTTGTTTCTTACTTAAATAGGGAGTCAGTTTCTTAATCTAGTTGGGAGCGTAACTGCTTCGCTGCCAACAGTTTTTTACGTCCGTTTAGTCGTAAGCATAAACGTGCGTGATCGGAGTCTACACACGTGTTCCAAAAGGAGCGACAATCTTGTACTAACCCTTGCTAACGATACCCTGTCGCTATGTGGTCTATCTGAGTCCAGCGTTGATTTGGTGATGGAAGTCGCCAGGTTACACAATGTCTCTATGCGTGCCTAAAGTTAGTGGTGACTAGGAACAGATGATTATCGGAGCAAAACTATAGGAGACGATCACCGTTATCGGTTCGTCGGCAGGGAACTCCATACGTACCACCTACATACTTCTCAGTTTGACACAACTTCCCTACTTGGATATTGAAGTCGCCCGCTGAAACAACTATATTTGAACGCTTTGCTTTTTGCAGCAAATTAGACAGTTTCAGGTAAAAATCATCCTTTAGTTCATCCGAACTGCAGTTGGTTGGGGCGTAAGCGGAGACTACGAAAAGGCAACGATGGGTAGCGCCGCCCTTCCTTCTTCCAACGGGCCCATTCAGACGGACAGCCCATAACTATCTACTGGGATCCAGTCAAGAAGTGACTTTTCTGTCCTAACACTCAAAGCTGTCCCTAAACCTGCGAGTCCTCGCGAAATAGCTGAGATGTCTTCTGACACTCTTAAAGTGAATTTTGCAGATCCACCTTGTTGGCCGGGTGAGGTTAAGTGAATGACCACACTCGGGTTTTGTATTCGTGTCTCTGAAACACAACATACATCCATGGCTCGAGATGCCAGAGTTCTTACTAGTGATGCCTGTTGTCCAATTTGGCAGAGGGTCCTGACGTTAAATGCTCCTATATGAAGTTGGCGACGTGGCTTTAAGAGGCTGTCGGGGGTGTTTCTATGGCTCTCACCGTTGTTTGTGATCACAGAGTAAAGTGAAGACTCACTAGCCTGCGGAATAGTGCTAACTGTAGTAGAGAAGCAAAATGAGGAAGGTGATGCGAGTAAAGAAGAATGATATTCAGGAAAGCTTCGTGTACTTTTGGAAGTGTGTGAGCGGTTGTTACTTCCCGTCTGCACACATCGTGAAAGCTGACTTTTTCTTCGGATACCTGAAACAGAAAGTGTTGCGTGACCGCATAGCCCAAGGGACAACTGCTTGCTGCTGGCCAGTTACACACGGCCTGTATGAACTGGTTTCTTGGTTTCGTTCCGTATTAGTAAACTTACCGCCGGTTACGGACCACCGTAGGGTAAGTCGGGATGTACAATTTTCGGTGTTTTTAAAGTGGATAGTTGCGCGCTACACTCGTAAATTATAAAGACAGTGTAGGTGACTTAAATAAAATCTTTGAATTAAACAACGTGAACATTATTGTGTGAATCTATCGTCAAAATAATGAAACATTAAAATTTGAACATATTTTTGTTTGTTTGAAATGTGTCTGTCTTTCTACAGGTGCGTTTCCTAAGAAACTAGTTGCACCGTGGATAGCCACAAGTCCCACAGATTTAGAGCACAGGTTCATTAGATAGGTCTGTCTGTAGCTGTTACAAAATTTCAATTTTTATACACCACTAAGATCAAGATTTAGAACGACCCGTACTTTGGTTCAGTTATCAAATATTTCTCGACCATGTTTAAAGACTTTTGAAGGGAAAACATTTGGCTAAAGGAACTGACCTGCTCAAAGTGTGCAGCAGCTGTGTGATTTTCACCATGTTATTGACAAGATGTCCATTTTCAACTAAGATGTTGGTATCCGTTGGATAGTTGAGCTACTTGCCATTACTCTGTTTGTCTACCTTAAGACACTGGTGATCCATTTTCATCAAAACCACATTATAAAGGAACCTAACTTCATTGTTTTATGAAGCCTAAATGGCTTTATCGACATAAGAGCAGAATCTCGACATTATGGTAGACCACAATTCCATAAAAGAGTAGTTTCAGTGGGTAAAGTACACAGTAGTACATAATTATTTATTTAATCATAACGCTACTTACTTGCCGCCGTGTCGAATGCTGCCGAGATCCACTTTTTGCATCAGCTCGTCTTGAACCTTTAGGCGATGGTGATAACGAGTTAACATCTTCACGTAAATCATACTGATGACTTCCGCTACTGCGCCTTCTGGTGCTATGTGAGTTACGTGCAGGATGACGGTCATGACGTTTTAGATAACGACGTTTATGCATATCATGGCGGTCATCAGGACTATAGTATCTAGACTTCCTCTTAGAAGGATGTGACCGTGAATGGATATACTTTTTTTCATCTGAACGATGTGTTTTTCGAGGTTCGTATCTTTCAGAATCGCTACTTCTTTCCCTATATGAAGCGCGACGTTTCGAACGAGATCTACGACGTGGAGATACATGGCGACGCTGTGTTGATTGACGATACCCATAACTTAAAGAAGCTGAATCTTTTTTCTTTGACTTTGAAGGTGAACTGACAGAGTGACGAGCTCTTTTCGCTGTAGCAGAATTTCCTTCAAGTTTAGTATCTTGGTGATTATTTGTAAGCCGTGAAGAGTCAGTTTTACGATCACGATTAAAATGCGTTGAGGGAGAACGACTATTTTTATTGTGTTTCTGTTTATATGACTTTTCATTAGAATGCTCATCATGAACCAGACGTTTATGATGCTTTCTGGGGCTATATGACGACTGGCTATATGAAGATTCTGAAGCATCTGAGGAACATGTAGAAGCTGATGATGGTGTGTTTGGAACAGACTCATAAGCAGAATGCACACGCATATCCACTTCATAGCTTTGCTCCCTATCAGTTGATACAACCTTACGACTACCGTCCTCACGAACGACTGGTTTTGCAGAGCGATGAGGCTTTTCATCCGCTGTTGAAGCCTTTGATGCACTACTTCGCCTATGTGATTTATCTCGATGCTTCTGTTTGCGAGGAGATTCTTTGACAGGTGACGCATCCGCTGTTAATTCAGAATTAAATTCATCACGCTTGCTATGCTTTTCATGTTTGGTTTCACTCTTTGAATGTTTTCTCTTTTTCTTGATACGGTCACGTTTGTACTGGTCAAGTATAGCTTCCTTATCGAGCGATTCTCCTTTACTTCCACTATCCGACTGGATTACGTCTGAGGGAAATTTGGAATCGCCAAGACCTAAGGATCCACCATGGTTTTTTGTATGCTTTGCTTTTGAATGTCTTTCTTTTTCGCTTGAGGAAGCATTCACTGTAGTTCTTTTCGAATGGTTAGACTTTTTCGTTAATTCTGAGGTTGAGGTATTTTCAACATCCTTCAAATTGGATGTTTCATGGACAGACGGTTGGTCATCTGGACAAACAGAATCAGTTTGTCGGGGCATCTCACGAATGTTCAGCACCTACAATATATGTCGATTAGTAAGCACGATAAATTATTGCGATTATCAAAAAAACTCCCAATAAATCTGATAATGTACAAAAATATAATACTATACGACAATATGAATAGCTTACAATGTCAGTAATTCTTATAGAACACGATTACTGCGACAACAATATTTGTCTAGATTGATAAGCAAAACATTTATTTTTGTGAGAAGAGACAAAAAACATCTTAACAGTAAGCTTTCGATTTTAACTCTTCAAACCGTCTGACTGAGTTTCAGCATAGTCTGTCTGTCTGATTTCGACATAGAACTTTACACCGATATGCAGCAGTTCGAGTCGCCACACTTCACTTAGAACACAATGCAAGAGAAAAAGAAGAAAAAAGTAAAAAAGAAGCGCAAAGTAGAGAGAGCGAAGAGAGATATGAGGTAAAAAAGTAATATCGAAGATGGGTATTAAAAGTCACAGGGAGTGGATGCATCTGCACCAGTCATTTAGAACGATTTTGAGCCATATCACCAATTGTTTCCAGCCATTGGTGTTTACCATCCCGAGGACCCCAGCCAGGAAGCAAGTCTACACATTTCTACGTGGCTTCAACTGCCTGTTGTGGATTCCATTGACTGATAAATTCATGTTTTGGTTTGACCATCACCGGCTCTTTTCCAACCTGACCCTATATCAGCTAACATTCCCCGTCGAGGAAGGCGATGGATGGCTAGGCATGCGTAACGCATGTCCTAACCATCTCAGTCGATGTAGCTTCACAGCTTCATCGATTGGTTTCCCCTCTTTACCTAGCACTCGACCAATGCCTAAGCTCAATATTGCTCACTCTATTATACCACTTCACACAGGAGATAGAACGCAGACACCTATGATCAAAGACAGCTACCAGCCTTTTCATGTCTTCCAATCTCAGTGGCCAGGTCTCGCAGCCATAGAGGATGACGGAGCCGACTGAGGAGCAGTACACCCGCCCTTTGGTCAATAGCCGGATATCGCGTCTACGCTAGAGACGGCGTAAACTGGCTTATGTGAAACTATCCCTCTGTGTTCGTGCTGAGATTTCGTCAGAGATCAACCCATTGGGTCTGATGCAACTTCCAAAATAAGTGAAGCGGTCAATATGCTCTACCACTCCACTTCCTATTTCTAAGCTAGGAGTTAATGCAGTTCAGTTCTGTAACATCACCTTACATTTGGCGGGAGCAAACAGCATGCCAAACATTCGTGCATTGCTGCCTGTTAAGGTGTTCAGAACTCTGCATTTTGTCAGCGTCTTCCTCACCTGGCAGGGAAGACTATATCGTCTGCATATTCTAAGTCAACAAGATTATTCCCCGGTAGCAAGTCAATCCATGAGTCTCTGAAGTGAGTTAGGGTTAAGTCCATTAGTTGTTTCAACACAGGACTTTGCACAAAACGGCAGCAGTTCAAGTTGCTACACTCCAAATACCACACAAAGGAGGGAGAAAGGAATTTAAAAGCACTATAATTATAAGCAAAAATATGAGCGGAAAGGAATAGTAACATGGCGAAACATTATGGTTTAATGGATATAGGGTATCACAGGGGGTGAATTGATTTGCGCTACTAGGAGTGGTTTAGAGCCATATTAGCAATAGTCTTCAACCACTGGATCTTAGCATCACGAGGACCCCTCCCCCATCAGCCAGCCTACATCCCCCTATGTAGTCTAAATCAACTGTCAATGACTTCATGGACTAATGTCACATTTTGACTTGACCACTCCTAACTCTTTTCCAACCTAATCCTATGTCAGCTAACATCGGTCTCCGAGGAAGGCGGAGGCTCAGCATACATGACACGTGTCCAAGCCATCTCAATCGATATTTCTTCACAGCCTAATCGATTGACTTGATATTCTTACCTAACTCTAAGCTTCACCTCAAATATCTGTCAGTATATTGTACCACTTAACACGGGAGATAGAACGCATTTGGTCGAAGACAGCTAGCCTAGTGTAATCTCCCAATTTTAATATCCACATTCCACAGACGTAAAGGAGGATAGACCGAACTACCACGCAGTACGTATGTGCTTCAATCGATAGGAAGATATCACATCCACGCCATAGATAATGTAAACTGGCAAATGCCACACCAGCCTTTTGTATCCATGCTGAGATTTCGTCAGCTTTAAGTTCGTTGGGACTGGTAGAAATTCCAAAATAAGTGAAGTAGTCTGCGCATTCTACTTACTATTATTAAGCTAGCAATCAGTGTAGGACTGGTGTAGCATTTAACAATAGCGAATCGCATGTCGAATATTTCTGCTCTAAACAATAACTCTCTTCTCAGACTAACACAACTTCCCTCCTTGAAGTCGCCTGTTAAGACGATTATACACAGGTGTTTTGCTTTTAGTAGCAAATTAGTTTTTTTATAGAGTTCGTCCCTCTTTTCGTCTGAGCTGCAGTCTGTTCGAATATAATCGGGGATTACCAAAAGATATCCGTGAGTATCGCGATATTTCCCTTTTCTAAAGTATTCTTACAACCAGACAGCATACACACTACTATTCACTCTGGGATCTAGTCGAATAGGGGTTTTTCTGCCTAAGCACTCAATGCTGTTCCTACGTCTCCGAGTCCGGAACCACTTTCCTTATATCCATAAGGTGAATTTCGAAGATTCACCCTGTTTGCCAGGTTAGACGAACAACAACACTTGGGCCTTGTATGAAAGTCTTCGAAATGTAACACATCCATGGTTCATTAAATCAGAGTTTTGCCTAGTGAAGCTAAGAGTCTAACGTTTAATGATCCGATACGAAGTTGAAGTATTATTTTTAAGAGATTATAATGATTTTCCGGCTTTCATCGGTATTGATGGTTGCAGAATTAGATGAGGGACTTGGCTTTGGGACAGTAATAATGGGAAGAGGAAGGCAAGATGATAGTAGTGGAGGTGAAAGCGAGTGATGGTCAGGAAAGCTTTGTGTTTATCGAAGTGTGTGGGCAGTCATTACCATCCGGCTGCCCTCACCATGAGTTGATTTCTTCTCAGAGTACCTGAAACAGAAGGAGCACTAGCGTCGAGTGACAGCAGAACCCAGGGGACAACTTTTTGAGGCCGCTCACACGAGGCCTGTTAGAGATGGTCTTTGAAGTGATATCCATATTAGGTTCATACCTCTGACTATGGATCGGATCAAGGTCGACGTTTTCTAACCCTAATTTCTTCAGGGCGAAGAGGCATTATAGCTAGGGTGCTGGTCATCAGAAGGAAACATCTTAGTCCTGTTGCATCCCTGTTCCCAAGCAGTATGACTTTATTCACAAACCCGCAACATAGTGTAAACAACTTACACTGTGACTGTAACTGCCTTTAGTCTAATCGGCGTCCAAACAAACTTCCTGGCATGGTACGACCTGCAGGAACGTTAGTTCCAGTTGATGTGACTCGTTGGTTCACCGCATTATGCAACCCTGACCAACACACCGAGGTAGGAGCAGCCGCACCACAGATTATATGTGTGAGTGGAATAACGAAAATTATAGACCAAAGTTTAGCAGTGATAACCAGAATCTTTTCTTCAGAGTTCAAAATGTGCGAAGTACAAACAGCATAGCTGCAAGCCAACAGGAACAGAGGGCATTACAGATGTTCTTGAATAACACTGACTTTGATGGTTAATACTTCCTCGCATCATGTAACAAATTATTACTGCTAACACTTGATGTTAATGAAAAAAACTGAATATATTGGAGTACTGATTTTGATGGATCTAGGAGGAAACATTTTAGTATTACAGACGTAAGGTCACCGTACTTATTCAATAAAACCTAGCTGGAATAAATTTATGGCCAAAGCTAAGCTATCATAGCCAAAACCACAGTGACGAACAACCAACAGATGCAAAAAAGTAGCATAATCGTTGAAAAATGCACTAAAAACTTGGCAAGCATGATATTTCACTGTACCGTTGTAGCTTACGTGCAATACGAATGTCTTCCAGTCACAAAACAGACGATCTATGGAAAAATCATGTCATGCGCAATATATCCATTTATTCCGGAGACTTTGGGTCATGTTAATTTGGGATCCCTTGATATTTTCGACACTATTCTTCAACCTATTCCTAACTCTATCCATAATCCTAGCCCTAACTTAAACCCTAACCTAAAAAGCCATAACCCTACCCAACAGTATAGACTTGCAGAAAAAGTTCTTCGTAAACAACTGGAATACTGTACCTACCCTTTTCAGGTTTAAAAAGGCAAACTTGATTTGATTTGGAATGACATTTCAAGACATTCCTGGTATCTAATCGGTTCTTGATGATCAACTTTTGAAAGACCTTGACATTGGCTGTGATGCTTACACTTCGCCCAGTTATGTCCTGCACTGGCATTAAATTTTTCCTGAAGTAAAAAGGGACGGGTGATATCAGACTACAGCAAAACATCTGTTCTAGACTTTCTTAAAGAGTTCTAGGAAGACTGAATGTTCAACTAAAATATACCCCAGTTCCTCACAAGCTTTCGACAAAATAAATCAACTTCTATATATGCAATCATCTGAAAAGTTCAACAGTCTGATTAGTTGTTCATGCTGGACCCGGAGTATGGTATGTTTCGTGTGCATTTCGGGACGGTAAAAATCTATGGCTGGAAACAATTGGTGACATGGCTCAAAACCGTTCTCAGTGGCGCAGATGCATCCACTCCCTGTGACTTATGATCTCCAATGAAACTGTTTTGTTTTTCTTTATTACTCCTTTGTCTCACATCTCTGCTCACTGTTTCTATTATGCTTTTCTTGTACTTTCTTCTCTTGCTTCGCGTGTTACACGGAATGTGGCAACTTGAACTTCCGCACATTTGTGCAAAGTTCTATGTCGAAAACAGACAGACAGACAGACGGAGTATGGTATGTTTTCTTTAGAGTTGACCGAGGTAGGTTAAAGAACAGAATCGGAAACACAAAAAGATCTCAGAAATCTATAATCAGTAGTCATCTTTTTAAATTTTGTGAGTTTCACCGCCCATTAATTTTCATTAGTCGCTGGACGTCAGTGGTAAAGTGATCAGGGTGGGTGCATTTTAAACTTCGCCAATTACTGTACACCCAAGTTTACAATGCCAAACTAATTCTAAACTATACGCCCATAATGCTGTTTGATACCTAAAGAAACCTAGTGCACTGAATTAATATTAATTCTACATTAATGCAGATAGTAATCAAAGATTTTATTTGACGCTGACCAAAGGCGGGATGTGGTGGAATTCAGATTCAGAGCTGAATCGGAGCCAAAAACGCTGAAATGATTCTGAGAAGAATCCAAGTAGGAGCTAAATTACGGCGAGCAGTGTCGTAAAAACACTAAGTGCTAGTTACCATAGAAAAAAGCATCAGTTCAGAATTCGCGAGCATTAATTCAGCTACCTAATTAGGCATGCCTAATAGGTGAAACCATGGCAAA